AAGCAGTTCCAAACAAAACTCTCGATCATCGATGTGGTGTAGTGTTTGCTCTGTGAGCGAACACGGCACCAGTCATGGTTATACGTTATAAGCAGTTCCAAACAAAACTCTCGATCATCGATGTGGGGTTGTTTTTGCTCTGTGAGCGAACACGGCACCCGTCATGGTTATACATTATAAGCAGTTCCTAACAAAACTCTCGATCATCGATGTGGTGTTGTTTTTGCTCTGTGAGCGAACACGGCACCCGTCATGGTTATACGTTATAAGCAGTTCCAAACAAAACTCTCGATCATCGATGTGGTGTTGTTTTTGCTCTGTGAGCGAACACGGCACCCGTCATGATTATACGTTATAAGCAGTTCCAAACAAAACTCTCGATCATCGATGTGATGTTGTTTTTGCTCTGTGAGCGAACACGGCACCCGTCATGGTTATACGTTATAAGCAGTTCCAAACAAAACTCTCGATCATCGATGTGGTGTTGTTTTTGCTCTGTGAGCGAACACGGCACCCGTCATGGTTATACGTTATAAGCAGTTCCAAACAAAACTCTCGATCATCGATGTGGTGTTGTTTTTGCTCTGTGAGCGAACACGGCACCCGTCATGGTTATACGTTATAAGCAGTTCCAAACAAAACTCTCGATCATCGATGTGGTGGTGTTTTTGCTCTGTGAGCGAACACGGCACCCGTCATGATTATACGTTATAAGCAGTTCCAAACAAAACTCTCGATCATCGATGTGGTGTTGTTTTTGCTCTGTGAGCGAACACGGCACCCGTTTTGAAAAAAGCTTTCTTATGGTCAAATAATCGTATAATATAATGTAAACATTACCCAGTGATATCTTCAGAATGTCAGCTACCTCACGCAACTTCCCTTTGTGATTATCCATCATGATTTTGTGGATTTTTATTTATATTTCCTGAATAATAGCCTTATTTGGACGACCAGAGTGATCAGCATTATTTGCGTCACACGGAAGCTTTTGAAATCAACGTACCATCGACAAATGATTATTTATGACATTTTTCAAACCATTGCTAAGCCAGAACAGTATTTTTTCCTAACTGAAAAGCAATGTTTTAACAACGCCCAAAACTCTGTTTGTCCATTGTTTTGAAGATTACAAAATCAGTAAAATGGATATTTTGAAAATTACAAAATCAGTAAAATGGATATTTTGAAAATTACAAAATCAGTAAAATGGATATTTTGAAAATTACAAAATCAGTAAAATGGATATTTTGGAAATTACAAAATCAGAAAAATGGATATTTTGAAAATTACAAAATCAGTAAAATGGATATTTTGAAAATCAATAAAATGGATACTCCAGGTGTTCTTTTGATTTAAAATCCACAGAACATGAGTGAGATGCTTTGGGAATGCACTTTTCAGCACGATCATTTCCGCCTGTAAAATTTAGTTTCTCATTAAGTAATAAGAACTCTTACCTAAACATGTATTTACCTGAATCTTATAAAATAATTTTGATATTGTGTGTAGTAAATTATGTCTCTTAATGCAAAATGAAAGAATTTGCGCGTATAATTTTGAATGTAAAATTAGAATTAATGTAGGGAGAATATTTTATGTTTGAGGACGCGTTTTAGTCTTGGGTTTAAAAAGATTTAATAATAGGACTTCGATCACTAAAAAAAAACTTTACTTATTTTAATATTCAAAGTTCAATCACTGTAGGATATTTTACTTCCTCTAGAATCATATAAGCCATGCATCAAATGTAATTCAAATCAATAAAAAAATTTACAAAATTTCATTCTTCAGTTAAAAGAAGAGTCTTTAGGATAATAATAGCACTTTTTATCTGTTTATTCCTTCCCTATTTTAGTAAATTCTAACGAAAAATCGGATATTTGTTCTTCATTTTCTGGTACCCAGTACCTTTTTCAATGTACAGTTTCAACTGGACTCTTTGCTTCTTGCTGTTCAGTTGCTATTTCTCCCACTTTTTTTCTCTAATTCTTTTTCCCTCTCTTTGGCAATTTCACTTCCCGTCTTCGCACAGTGTTCAGAGCTGTGGGGAAAATGATCTCTTTCATTAAAGGGAAAAGTAATCGACGTACAGAATGTTGCAGAAAGCATTCGGTGGCCATTCCTCTATCGGAAAGAAATGTTTACAAGTGGTATAAACAGTTCAAAGAAGTCAGAGAACGCGTTGAAGACGAAGAGCCCTCGGGTCGACCACCAACCTCAACCGATGAAGCTCACGTCCAAAAAATTAAAGATTTGGTGCTTTCAAACCGTCTATTTACAATTAGAGACCTTGATGATGATATGGGAATTTCAAAAGGATCAGTCCATTCCAGTTTGGGCCTCAAACGTGTGAAAATCTCGATTGGTACCGAAAATGCCGAATGCACCAGCAAACACTAAAATGATTCTTCGTGACTTTTTCGCCAAAAATGAAACCATATCGTTCCACAACTACCTGATATAGCACCGTGCGACTTCTGGCTATTCCCTAAACACAAAAGACCACTCTGGGTACATCGTTTTGAGTCGATTGAAGAGATTCAACGTGAATCGGCGCGTGCTTTGAAGGCCATCCCTGCCGATGACTTTTTAGGATACATCGAGGATTGGGGGAAAAAGTTGCCATAAGTGCATTGTGTCAGGAGGGGATTACATTGAAGGCGATGAAATAAATTTGGAGGAATAAATAAAGAATTTTGGGGAAAAAAATAATTGGCCTTACATTTTGGACACAGTAGTACAGTTTCAACCGGACTCTTTATTTCTTGCTGTTCAGTTGCTATTTCTCCCCCTTTTTTTCCCCAATTCTTTTTCCCTCTTTCTGGCAATTTCACTTCCGTCTCCGCACAGTGTTCAGAGCTGTGGGGAAAATGATCTCTTTCATTAAAGGGAAAAGTAATCGATTTCGGTCGAGAGTAAGTGCCCAGGTTATTGAATGTAAAGTTTAGTGAGGGACGTAGAAAAAATTTAAAGAGTGAGGGATTTTTTTTTTTTTTTATTTAACTCTTATTTTTTATCTAGTAAAAAGGTCCAGAGAAAAAAAATTTAAAAAAATTTTTTTTTCCATAAGCCATGCGATTAGATAAAAAAAAAAAAAAAAAAAAAAAAACTGCGTAATGAAGGAAATTGAGAAAGTGTAATCATTTAACGTTTGAGTTGATACTTCATTACCTGTGATTTACTTTCAAAAGGATAAATACCCTATGATGATCATTAAAAAAATTATATTAAATACGTATATGTCAATATTTATGAAGAATTAGATTTTGGAGGGGCGATATTTAAAAATAATTCAAATGCATTTTGTAAAGATTTCTGGTCACTAATGATATTAATAATAATACTTTTTTAAAAAAATGTAAAATTCTGGGAAAGATTGAAGTATAATAAATCACAAATTAACAAATGAAACAAGAAATTTATTTTATGTGCATGTTAATTTTTTATAATAAAATTGTTCTAATTGAATTTTTTTTTTTAATTTATTGAGAAAAAAAATTACTATTTTTCACAACATTGAATGAACTATGTAAAAAATTTCATCGAAAAAATATTATATATATATATATATATTTTTTTTTTAAAGTCAATTCCTACTTAGGTCAACAAAGAAAAGTTTTATTTTAGTTACTTTCACTTTAGCATGAAAATTTTAAGCCGACGTTCTATCAACTTTGAAATTGGAAGACAAATTTCTTTTTTCGCTCTATTGCTGAAAGTGCTTTATTTTTTCTCCCATATAAAACAAAAATGAATTAATTAAATTTAATTACTGAATTAATATTTGAAAAAAACTGTATTAACATCCAGTGTCATCCACCACCACCACGTTCCAAAAAATGTATTTGAACTTGAGTGGATGAATAAAAAATATTTTATGAACGACTGAAAATTTGTATAAGATATATATAGGGAGCGAGTGAGCTAATAGTAGGAATTGAAAAATAGCTTTATAAATAATGTATCATTGGACTATAGAGTTAATTTTCATAATGTATGGAACTATTAAATTTTCGAAGATGTAATGAAGATAATTTTGCAAGACGCACTCATTATATTTGTAAAGAATTGATGTGCCTTTTGTTCGGTTATTACTGGCAAATTTCTTGTTTCATTTGTTCATTTGTCATATTTCCATACTTTCGTAGAATTTTACCTTTTTTAAAAAAAATTCTTAATTATTCTAAAAGTTTTTGTAGCTCGCTGGATTGCTTCGATACGATATACACAGTCCAGTAACATTAATGTGACCACCACCTACTTTCGACGTCAACGTGAAATAACCAATCACAAAAGGCAGGTGGCAGCACATTGCAGTGGAGTGTATATAAAGAATACAACTTAATACCACTTAAATACCACTTAATACCACATTCCGCACTCCACTTAAAGCCAGAATATACAAGAGTGTATATTCTGGCTTTTGACAGGTGGTCACATTAATGTGACTGGATTGTATATAATTTATGTAATAAATAAATTCTTTATGTTTTCATTTATACTCATTAAACTAGTCTATAATTTATTCAAACAAGCGAAAATATATTATTCTGAGAATAATATTCTTAATAAAGCTATTTATTACAAAAAAATATTCTTAAGAACGAAACTATTTATAATAAAAATAATATTCTTAAGAATGACACTATTTATTATAAAGACAATATTTTTAAGAATGAAGCTATTTATTATAAAAAATAATAATCTTAACGAGATTATTTATTATAAAAATATTCCTAAGAAGGAAACTGCTTATTAGAAAAGAAATATTCTAATGAACTAAGCTATTTATTATAAAAATAACATTCTTATGAACGATACTATTTATTATAAAAAATAAAATTCTTAAGAATAGACTATTTATTATAAAAATAATATTTTTAAGAATAGACTATTTATTATAAAAATAACATACTTAAGAACAAAATTATTTATTATAAAAAATAATATTCTTCAGAATGATAATATTTATTATCAAAATAATATTTTTAAGAACCAACGGCCGTACCATGCTGAATATACCGGTTCTCGTTAGATCACTGATCGTTAGTCAAGCATCATTGGGCGCGGTCAGTACTTGGGTGGGTGACCACCTGGGAACACTGCGTGCCGTTGGCAAATTTGGGACCTGAATGGCCGAGTGTCTAGCGCTCTGGCGCTCGGTGCCACAGGTTTCGGGTTCGAATCCCGGCGGTGCCATGGATGTTTGTAGTGGTTCGGAATCCACTTTAAGCCGTAGGTCCCGGTCTTCTATGACTGTAAGAGCGTCACGGAGCAAAAGTCAGGCTTCTACCTACGGGTGCTCCATCACAACAGAAGCTGCTTCCTTCCCCTTCAATCATGAGCCCATATGGGCTCGTGGGCTTGGCCAGCCAAGCGGGATAAGAAACAACAAACAACATATTTTTAAGAACAAAACTATTCATTATAAAAATGATATTTTTAAGAACAAAACTATTCATTCTAAAAATGATATTTTTAAGAACAAAACTATTCATTATAAAAATGATATTTTTAAGAACAAAACTATTCATTATAAAAATGATATTCTTAAGAACGAAGCAATTTATTATAAAAATAATATTCTTAAAAATTAAAAGAATATTATTCTAAGTATATTTACAGTTAAAAGGCTTTTCATCAATGAAATCTAAAACTGAAGTATTTTAAAAACTGAAAAATTTGTTTCTTTTTAATATTTCAATTAAGAACTCAAGCAACCTTAAGTTCAATTAAACTCCATCCAGTTGAAAAACAAAAACCTCCATATCTTTTTAAATTTCGTATTTTGAATGTAAAACGCAATCAATATTAATAAATAGAAATTAATTAGAATATTAGAAAATATCATTTATAAATTACGTGGTTGCAAATACCATTCTATGTCTTTTTAAAAATTCAAATCCTTTCAATTCTGTGTATTGTTTGAAATAGTTCATTCCTCCATCCAAGTTCCCGATGGCCCGGGAACTAAAACGGGCTACCCTCAACTCTTAATCAACCCCAGAGTTGTTTACAACTGCATCATCTTCTTCCTTGAATTGAAAAGTGCGTCTGATCAGTTTGCTAAGACTCCTGTCGTGGTTAATTAAATTGACGGGAAACATTTTGCGCCCGGAGCGACCTGTAATCGGATTTCCTTCTTATGGACGCACGCAGAGAAAAGTCTGTTTTCAATAACTGATACCCCCGCAGCACAATTTTAAGCAAATTAGTTTTATCATTACGCTATGTATCGATGTTGAATACTTAAGTTGGAAATGGAAGTTTTCAATGCATGGTATTGTTGCGGAGACCTGTCCGCAGATAACTGGTTATCTACCTTGAATTCAAATGGATTGTTTCGCTGAAAGTCAATTCATCAGGCTATCTGAAAAAAACCTAGGAAAAATATACTTTTATAAATTTTAAGGTTTGCTCTTCTTAACATAATGCCATGTTATAACTATAAAATAATCATACGTAGCAGTATAATACCTTGTTATAACAATATACATAATAATAATATATAATAATATAAAGCCTTGTTATAACAATTTAGCAATAATTTATAATAATATAATGTCTTATTATAACAATGTAACAATAATATACGACAATGATCACCGAGTGGCTGGCGCTCTGGCTCTCGGTTCTGAGGTTCGAATCCCGGTGTGCCATGAATGATTGTAGTGGTTCGGTATCCGCTTTAAACTGTATGTCCCAGTCTAACAGGATATTAAAGCGTCACAGAGCCCAATCAAGACTTCTCACTCATATCATTCCCAAACTGTAAAGGGGCAACTCAGCTCTAGGTACAGTGATGTGGTGTAGTGTAGTAGTAGTAATTTGTTATAACAAAAGAATTCTAATTGAATTTTTTTTCAATTTTTTGAGAAATGAATGAATTAGCATTTCTTACAACAATGAACTCGGTAAAAATTATTAGCATTGTTATCCAACAAAAATTAGCTTTGTAAATAATGTATCATTAGACTATTTGGATCATTTTCATAAAATAGGTAACTATTAAATCAAATTTCAGTGAAAATGATTTTACAAGACCAAATTATTATATTTGTAAAAAGTGTAAAGAATCTACGTGCATTTTGTTCATTTATTATTCTGTAGAACTTCTGTAGAATTTTACCTTTTTTTAAAAAAAAAATTGTTATTATTCTGAAAGATTTCCAATCGCGCTGAATTGCTTAGATACAATATATAAAACTAAAGCCTTTTATAAACTGAAAAAAATCTGTTTTTTTCCATTACTTCAACTAAGAACTGAAGCAACTTTAACTTCAATTAAACTTCATCCAGTTGAAAAGTAAAAACCTCCATATGTTTTCACATTTTGAACCTTTAGTGTAAAAATACCATTTGTGAATTACTTGATTGACATGAAAACCTCCATACGTTATTAAATTTCAAAAATTGAATGTAAAACACAATCAATAATAGTAAAAATACCATTTATAATTTACTTGATTGCAAATACCATTCTATGTCTTTTTAAAAATCCAATCGTTTCCAATTCTGAGTATTGTTCGGAATTGTTCATTCAACGAGCCAAGTTCCCGATGGCCCGGGAACTAAAACCGGCTGCCCTCAACCCTAAATGAATCAGTCCCAGAGTTGCTTACAACTTCATCATCTTCCTGAAATTGAAAAGTGCGTCTGATCAGTTTTCTAAGACTCCTGTCCTGGTTAATTAAGTTGACGGGAAACATTCAGCGCCTGGAGCCATGGCCAGTAATCGGATTTCATTCTTATGCATGCAGTGCGGGGAACAGTCCTGTTTTCTATAACTGATATCCCCGCAGCATAATTTTAAGCAAATTGGTTTTATCATTACGTTATGTATCGATATCGAATACTTAAGCTGGGAATGAAAGTTTTCAATGGAGGGTATTGTTGTGGAGACTGTCTGAAGATGACCTGGTATATACCTTCCTTTCAAATGGATTATTTTGATGAAAGTCAATTGATCAGAGTATCTGAAAAAAACCCGGGAAAAACATGCTTTTATAAATTTTGAGATTTTCTCTTCTTAAAATAATGCCTTGTTATAACAATGTAATAATAATATATAACAATATAGAGTGTTATTATAACAATGTAACAGTAATATATAATGATATAATGTTTGTTACAACAATGTAACAATAATGTATGTTGTTGTTTGTTGTTTCTTATCCCACTTGGCTGGCCAAGCCCACAAGCCCATATGGACTCATGATTGAAGGGGAAGGAAGCAGCTTCTGTTGTGATGGAGCACCCGTAGGTAGAAGCCTGACTTTTGCTCCGTGACGCTCTTACAGTCATAGAAGACCGGGACCTACGGCTTAAAGTGGATTCCGAACCACTACAAACATCCATGGCACCGCCGGAATTCGAACCCGAAACCTGTGGCACCGAGTGCCAGAGCGCTAGACACTCGGCCATTCAGGTCCCAAATTTGCCAACCGCACGCAGTGTTCCCAGGTGGTCACCCACCCAAGTACTGACCGCGCTCAATGATGCTTAACTTCGGTGATCTAACGAGAACCGGTATATTCAGAATGGAACGGACAATAATGTATAATAATATAATGCCTTGTTACAACAATGTAAAAATAATATATAATAATATAATGCCTTGTTATAACAAAGTATATATTGTTAAAATTAAATTACAATTTTATTTAATTAAAAAAGAAATAGCTAAAACTTTTTTTGTAATTTTTTTTTATATTGGAACAACATTTTAAAGCAACAGAAAATATATTTAAAAACTATTAATTTTTAGTTTAACTTAAAAAATTATTTCTAAAAATCAATATTTTTTATACGTAAGTGATTACTTAAAAATCCTCTGCTTTCATGCAGTTAAAATGTAGTTTCATAATATTTATCGTTTGCAGGTGAACGAATCTCTTTGGTTACGAAACAGCCAAACGATTCTATCTTGGGATGAAGGTGAGTTGCTTTTGGACCAAATTTATAATTATTTATTTTTAATTTTAAAATTAAAACTAATTAATTAATTAGAATAAAAGTAGGAAAAACATTAAATTAAAAGAACATAAAATTTAGTAGAAGGTAAGAAATTATCAAGACTATTATTCAATAGTGATAGAACTTTGCGTCAGACTAGAATAAGGTTTAAGTTTATCTATGGGGTTTTAGTATTTTGAAGCTTTCAGACAAGGAAGATAATCTCGGTATTTGAATTAACAAACATTGAGACATTTCTCAATCAACCCCAGTCAATCAATTCAGCTCCTTCATTATGAAAACTATAACAGCAGTAATTTCACTAGATGATGGTTGAAAATCATTTCTGTAGGAGGGAGAGGAGGGATGGAGTATATGGGAGAGCCCCTCAAAGCTTCAGTAAAGCTGAAATTTCTGGTAAATAGCCGGAGGGCAGGAAATTGAGTGAAGGTTCTTCTAGCATTGATGATAATCGCAGAGTTTAGTCGAGACTTTGGTAATTTAGGTCAGCCAAGCCAAGCAGAAAGATGACCAATGCTACCACAATTTATACAAGTTTCTGCTATAATAGTTAAGGATAATAGTTTCAATCAAGGATAATAGTTTCTGCGGCGACAGTTTTCTAATGCTATTTCAGACAGCCTTTCTTACTACCACAATTGATAAGCTATGATAAAAATTATTACATCTATAGCATTGTGTCACAGAAGGTCGTTTATAAATCTTTCATCTATTACACAAAAGTATAAAAGTTTATTTAATTTGAAGATGTCTTCACTAACATCTTTACGAAGTAAAACTAATTGCCACTTGGTGTTATTCTCAATTAACTGAGTTGTTTTAACATCCTTAAAACCTTTAAATGCCAAAGATGGACTTATTTCTTCAATAAGGGTATTGCGAGGAAAACCTTTAAGGACTACCTTAAGAGGCCTATCATATTCAGGAGTAATAATAATAAACAATCAATATTCTCTTTCCTCTTATTTAATAATAACTCCATGGTGCTGATCATCCAAAAGACAAGTTTATTTCATTTGGTTTCCACAAAAGATTAAAAGATATATGTTTCGTAAAACGGGGAGACTTGATGGCGTTTGGTATATTCAGCAACTTTCCTCGTTAGTCGGAATAACTCATGGAGGTTTTTCGGGTTTTC